GGAGGAGGAGGAGGAGGAGGAGGAGAGGAGAGGAGAGGAGAGGCCTACATACAGTACATACTGTATGCCTTTAAACTTGTGCTTTGGGGAGGATGTTCAAACATTTATGACTAATGAGTCAGAGCACTTGAGATTAGTGCCTCTGCAGTATCCACAGGATGAAACAAATCAAACTGGGGGGAAAAAGAATTCACAAATTCATGCAGAATCTCTTTTAAAGGTGAAAATCTAAAGAATATGAAGAGGCTTACCGCTGCTACTCCTCTACCCATCCGAATTCCCAACAAAACTCTTCTCATTTACATATTCTTCTGTTTCTGTTTTTAGTCCACGGAACGAGTATGAAACAGTGACTGAACTAGGGCTGGTCCGAGTAGTATTTTCTGTTCTGCGGATATTCGGAGCAATTAATGACGAATATCCAGGATAGTTCAGAGAGGGTCGGGGTTGAGTATTTGTTCCGATTGGGGCAGGAGTGAGCGGGCGTTTCCGCCATCAGCAGTCACAGTACTGTAACTGCAGTCAGTGGCGGCGGCGGCCAGAATTTGATATCCTGATTCCAGCACAGTGAACGAATAGTCGGCTATTCGGGTCCAGCCCTAGACTGAACACAGGCCATTGACACTGCATTGTAACTGCCAGACACCTAATTGCCATTTCCAAGCTGCAGCTCTGCTCTGATAAACTACTGGTTCTAAAACCGTATTGTCTACCAACTGACTATACTCAAAGTTACTCTATTTAAATGATCACTGACATAAAGTTAAAGGCGACAGGAAGTCTTGGTCTAACAGGTTCCTTCACGGTCAACTGTTTGTCTCCACATGTCAATCACATGCAGAGAGAGTCTTCTTCCTGAAGGGTGCAGTATTTGTATTTGAAACTACAGACACCAAAGCAGTCATGGTGAAATTACCCATCTTTTTTTGACCCCAAAAATTGAAAGAAACATTCTGGGGACACGTCAAACTTTCATTAATTTGCTAAAAAAGGGGGGCACAATATGAGACTTTTAAATTGCTTCTCCAAACATGATTCTGCAAGGCTTTTCATTAACGTAGCCACTCATTTATTATCGTTTTTAATTATCTTTTTAAACTGTTGCTTATTTCATCACATTGTTTTTTTCCTTGATTGAATGATTTTACTCCCCTCGTTGCCGTGTTTTAATTCTGGAAATAGAACACTATCTTTGCTTTCTAAAAAAAAAAAAAGTGCTGCATGGATAAAGTTTTATAATTATATCTTTTTAAAGAAACACAGAACAAACACTAAATGGCTGCTTTAATCTGGGCTTCCACAATGATGTTGCCATAGTAACATGCTCCCAGACATATGTCAGAAGCTGCACCGCGCTGTAGACCGCTGTCTTTGTATATGATTTGTTTCTGTGTAAATGTTTGTTGTTGTTGTTGTTGTTTGTTAAATCTCTTTAAAACACTCCAATGTGTTTTTGGATCTACTCACCATAAAAGTCACAAGAGGACCTAATGGAGCAACATGTGCCACATGAAAGCTGCTATCAATCAGTTTTTTTTCTCCTTACAGGTCGATGAAAATGATCTGATTGGATGACTCCTCCTCCAAATGTAACATAATTTGTATAATGACGTTAACCATTTTGACTCACTGTGGAACCCTGTATTTGTAATCCAATTTACAGGAATCTATACATATCCGATGTACGTGACAGGAAAAAAAGTAGAGACGCGAGAGGAGAAGCTAGGATGGGTGAATGTCTGCTGTTTTCCGACTGCTATTTTGGAACCACCAACATTGCTGCATGCTAATTTCCCAACACAAACACACTCGGTCGTGCACACACACACACACACAAACAACACACGGGATCCTGGCTCTTGCTCCTTCCCAGTAATGTGATTGTGAGCGCAAAGGCAGACGTCACAACATAAATCAAGCAGGAAATAAAAGCACTGAATCTTGCTCTACACAGACGCCCCAAGGGCAGGCGCACATACATGCTCACACACACAGCGTGTGGGCAGAGACACTAAATCACCACGCTTCCCCCCCCACAACCGTCCCTTTCCGTGACAGCAGCACACCATCAACAACGGTGGCCGATTTGAATAGATGTTGCATCCAAAAGTAGAGACCCCCAAACTGTTTGGTCGAGAAGTATCGATCGGATGTCTGCCAATGGTCAAGCGTTTGGTATTCATTTCCGAGTTTGTTTACACTGATAAAGAGGCAATAAATAACTTGTTTATCTACTTACTGTCACATAACCCCTTGGGATTGATGAGGGATGCCGGAGGTAAAAGAAAAATGAGGCGAGGAACGTGGTGTCACTAGAAAGCGCAAAAAAATGAATAAATCTGTCACGAGAATTTTCTTTTACAATCCGTCATTGTACTCCTAGAAATGGCATTTTTTAGATTTCGGTAAGCTGTGGCTTTTACATATGGTCAACTTTTCATATACAGCCAATAACTTTATGTCATTTCATTTGTTTGTGCAACTCCTCAGTTATTAATTTTTTTGCCTTCCTAAAACATGCACACTTTTAACCATAGATCAAGAAATTACACAGAAAGCGCTGCGTCTACTTACAGTATTTTCTGTTTTTAAAATGACTTAAAACCTGAAATTACCCAGAGCCATCACCAACCAAGCCTCTTTGATATTTAATCTTGATGTAGGGGATCAAAGTATCTACAACATCATTAAACATGTTCTACAACAGGGAAACAACACGAGTAAAAGAAATCATGAAAGATGAAAGGATGCTGCTGGATCAGTATGTGGCAGCAAAGGTCTTCTCAGGGTTAGAATATCAGTTTTATTCCTGCCATGTTTCACTGAGCGCTGAATACTCTTAATAACTACATTTCCAGGCGCCTAAGTATAGTTTCATTCTTTTTAAGAGTCGACACACTGGCTGCTCAGTGATGTGGGTCTTTAAGGTGTAATGTTTACAGTGTTCACAGCTGTAATTTAGTATGTAAATGTGACAATATTTGCTTAATGTGCTTAATTAGCGCAGAACATGACGCTGAGTTGAAGCTTGTGGGAACATCGCTTTTGCGTGATGTAGATGCAAACCAAACAAAAAAAGGAAATTGATGACCAAAACTTTAAACCTAAATCCTGAAATATCAAGCTTACAGTGG